AAATTCGTCCTGAGGTCAGATCAACCGGCACCTTTCTGTTCCCAGTTACCAGCAATTGATGTGAGAATATCTCACCTGATCGATCGTTTTGCAGCTGGACACACATATTTGTAGTTAATTTTAATGTCTTTATGTGTCGCCACAAAGTAGAGTATTTCAGGCAAGCATTTATTTCGTCTGCTGGTGTCGATCGAGGAATTACAGGTAATGTTTGCCTGAAATCTCCTGCAAGCAATATTAATGTGTTCCCAAATGGTCTGATGTTTCCACACAAATCTTGCAATGATCGATGAAGAGCCTCAAGCAATTTTTTGTGCGCCATTGTGCATTCATCCCAAACAATAAGTTTGCATTTCTGCAATACCCTTCCCATGCCTGATGCTTTGGAAATGTTGCACGTGGGAGTTTCAATGAATTGCATGTTCAATGGCAATCTCAAAGCGGAAGGAGCAGTTCTTCCACCCGGTAGCAATGTCGCAGCTATTCCAGACGACACAAGAGCTAAGGCTATGTCATTTTGGGATCGAATTGTTGCCAGAATCAGTCTAATTAGGAAAGTTTTACCAGTTCCTCCTGACGCATCTAAGAAAAAGAATTCTGCAACCCCGTTATTGACAGTTTGCATTATTTGATCGTAAATGTCTTTTTGCTCAAGCGTTAGCTTAGGAATATTTGATTGCACATACGACAAAAGATCACCTGTGTTGTAATTTTGTTCACGACGCAATTTACATTGAACGAAGCAGCAGCAGATCGATTCCATGATGGCATTCCCAATTGATTGAGAACTTTTTTCGTGATTTCTAAGCACAAATCTTCAATCATTATCAACGCTTCGTTGCAGATTTCAGCTGTGAAATGTTCACATTGGAATTTTCCTTGCGTATTCGACGGAAAATATCTTCAGCCATGTGCGATTTAAATTTCTCCTATAACTCTGTTGGAGATGAAGGATAGCAGGCGGTCAATATGATCGCAAACAATGCACGAATTTGATGTGGATGTGACGTGTTGCACACGTCAATAATGCATGCATCCCAGTGTCGGTCGTTCTCCAATAAATTCAGAGCTTGACATGCGCTGCGGAAAGTGACATGTGTAACGCCGTTGACAATTGTCAATTGCTGGAAAGACGTTTGACCGGGCACATTTACCAACAGCATGCGAAGAAAGACGCATTCATCTTGATTGGGATGCACGGTGTACAGTCTGCCTATCGTAGTTTCCTTGAATATGCCAGTTTGTCCGTCGACTCGCTCTCCTCGTTTGCGTCGTTCAAATGATTTTCTACTCACATTCCATGTGTAATACGTAGGCACTTCCGAATACAGTAGTGTTTTCGCAAACGCATCATTTTACATAACGCGAAGAAAGCAGTTAACGTTGTAGCCGGTGGATTCAGGGCTATTTGTTGCACATTTGCAGTTGTGAAATAAACGCGTTGTCCATTTTCTAGATGTACTGCTAAGTGAACAACAGCTGTACTTCGTTCATGTATGGGAAATGAAAGAATTCCCCATACAGTTTCATTGCTGCTTATGTACCTTCCAGCCTGATACTGTGCGATTTCATGGATATGTATGACCTCATTCCTATCATTACTTTCTGGTTGCACGCCAAAAACTGCCATGGGCTGCCTTTATTCACGTACTTACAAATGTATTTGATCGATTTAACGGAGTTACAGTATTCCATGCTTATGTGCTCTTTGTGTATTTTGATAGCAAAGGCGAATATGGAACAACCCACCGGTTATCCACTTCGATGTCATCGTTTCGCATTTGTATGGTTACTAATTTACCGCCATCTTCTGCTGATCTTCTTCTGTATGAAGGATATCCATCGTTTCCTGTATCTGTGTTGGATAGTAATGCTCGAGGATATCGCTTAGAGCAGTTTCCGTCTATCATGCATGGTGAGTTTGGATTCAGTGTACCGCACGGTCCATGTATCATATTTTTCGTCACAACTTCATGCAAATCCTTATCGACGTCGGCATCGGGTATTTCAGCATATAATACATCGTCGATTTCGTTTGAAGTGATTTTGTTATAGAGGCAGATTAGTATATGTGCATGTGGCAATCCTCTTTTTTGCCATTCCACTGAGTACATCCAGCAGCGCACAGACCCAAACACTTCATGTTTTACCATGAAATCCATCAGCGATTTCAGCTTCTGTCTAAAAATACGTGCTGTGATGTCATGCCTATCCACCGGCAATTGCCCAGGAAGTAAGAACTCTTGTATATCGTCCAAAGCTGGATTGCATGTGAATGTAACGCATAGGTCTGGACGCCCGTAGTGACGAACATACGCAATTGCATCTTGAGCGTACTCATGCATATGACGTGGACTGCCTGTATATGCAGATGGCAAAATGGTTAGTCTTCCAACGTTAGTTGTATTACCGTCATTTACAACTGCATCTCGCAAATGAACGTATTCTTCAGAGCGAAGCTTGGTCTGATTCAAACGGAAGAATATCAAACGTTCTGTTTCGATTTATGCATGCATATCTACAATGTATTGGTGAAACAATTGGCGGCATTTCAAAATGTGATTGTCTTCATTCTCTCGAATCATTAATCGGTATGAATAATAGTTCATTGCTCTGCATTTCATGTTTGTTTATTCTCCACTGACTGGATTTATCATCTTAACGTTGAAGAGATATCCATCGGCACCATCCCAAAAAATGATTGGATATTGCATGTCATCGTAACATCGATGAGTTTCTGCAACTTTTGTCAATTGATCGTTTCTCCGATGAAGAACAATATCTCTAGGTTGGAATTGATCTCCGACTATAACAATTGCCACTTTGTCTATAGTTGGAGCATTGAATCTTCGCACATGTTGTCCAGCAGGCGTTTTGTCAGCAGGAATAACAATCTTGTGTGTATCAGATGGCATCATGTTAATAGCTGTTTTGAACAAACGCACTAAACTGTATTTTTCGTGAAGAAGCTCTTGCAGTTGGGAAACGATGGACCTTTTATGACTGTAGAAATTCCGCAGCGTGCATTAAATTCATCATTGCCATCGTCGATGAAATACATTTGAAGGAATTTATGTTGACCATCTGGGAACGGAAGCAGGGAGCCAGCTTTATGATAAAATTGTCCTTCCACTTTGAAAGTTGGCATGAATTGAGCTATTATGATTTCTGCGCCGAACAACGTCATTTGGAAGCATGAGTTGTATTTCCTGATGTTAGATAGGAAATGCTTTGATTCGGGGGTATATCCGGCAAGCAAAGTTTTTAATGGCTCTGGCGGTTCTCCAAGCTGAGGGAGTTGAATTTTTCCCGCGGCGCAACGCATTCCTTTCATTTCTCCATTAAATTTCAGAGCCTTGCAATAAGGACAAATTTCAGTCACAGTGCCCATAAGAACATGCCGGCTCAAACTATAATCTTCAACTGGGCTGTACCGGAATGCAAGGCGATTATAATCGCGTGATTGCTGAGCACGGAGTCGTGTTTGACGCTGATCTGTTGTTTCTCGTTGACGTCTTTCAGCCACTCTCAGCCTGTCGCGTTCATTCTGTTGAGAACGAAGCAGATCTGAAGCTGCAGAACACGATCGCCGTGTTCGCAACCGCGCTTCCTCAAATCTGGCTGCACGTCGCTCTGCTGCTTCCTCGGCACGTATTTGAGCCATTCTTTGCCTGTTTCGCTCGTTCGCTGATGTCCTTTCTTTTCCAGTTTGATTTGCAATTACTCGTCGCACTGCTTCCGCTCCGCGAGTACGACGACCCAAGTTTGATCTTCTGCGAGGCATTATTTGGATGAACTAAAGCAGATCGATTGCACTGGGGAAGAAGAAAGAAAGTTATAACAAAAACATATAAAATTGCAAAACATTAAAAAAGGAAAGAAAATGAACTGGAAAACAAAGAAGAAATAAAAAAAATAAAAAATACTAACGAAATATTTCAATTCAAACTCAGATCAATCGACATAGCCTAGTTCCACCGCCAATTGCACTGAAAAGTAAGGAAAACAGTTTAGAAGACGAAATGAAAAACAATGAAAGAAGAAAAAATTAACTATACTCAAGGAATGAACGCGAGTGTAAACGAGACAGCTCAATTCCAACGCAATGTCACACGAAATAATTAAATCAAAATGAAAATAAATCGCAATCTATGAAAATCAAATTTAACAATGCAATCGGAAACACTGAAATGGAATCATAAAACATTTAGTATGGCGTGTGTTGCTTTTACCTGCAATAGATGGCGCTGTTTTTCAAAAGAAGCATGTTTTTACCTGTCACAAGTGTGACAGCTATATAATAGGTATACAAAAACACGCGCGTATTCGAATGCAACGTTGTGTCAAAGTTTGAAAGCAATCTGTGAAGAGCTTTCGGGGATTTAAGACTTTGAACAAACGAACTTTTACATTTTTATTTATATAGATGTGATATTTATGAATTATTTATTTTAGAATCACTCAGACTTGAACGAGTACTTGGAGATTTCTTAAAGTCTTCAATCGAAATTTCAAAGGTGTATGTACGAACTTTAATGAAGACTGGTTCAGGCTTTCAAAGGTAGTTACAGAGGATGTACATACGGACACATGAAGAGTCTTCTAGGCGATCTCGCAAAACTATTTCAGTTTTCTTCTTGAAAATAAGAAATGAAGTCTAAGAAAATTGTAACACATTTTATGGACACTAATGATGATCTTCTTTTCTCTTATCCAATATCAGCAGATCTATATGTCCTAGTCCCGAAGTAGAGAGCACTGGAAGTCATTTCTCATGGTCGTTCTTACAGATGATGTTCGTAATGGTAACTCACGAGCATTTAATTCTAAACCTGAAGAGACATTCGATTATAAACATCATTGTCATCTGCATCGTGGGTTCCTCGGTGTTCCTACTGAAATTCTTCCCGCCATATCTTCAGTACTGGCAGCTTCCGTGTTACTGCGTGTGTGTCTTTGTGGTCAGTACAACCATAACTACGTTCAAGAGCATGTTCCATGGTCTGATCACAGCTGGAACAACTCTGAACAAATGTTTCAAGGTGAGGAAAAGCAGGATTTAAAAGTAGATTCCAAAAGATATTATTAATTTAATGTTCTAAATGCTTCAAATATTTTTAAATAGAGAAATACGGTGATAATTTTTTAGATACGACCCATTTAACATCATGCGAACTACTGTGTTCTACATTATTGCACAATTCTTAAATTTACAGCGAGACATGAGGCAGAGCAATCTCTCAGCACAACTGATAGGAAAATACAGGATCCTCTGGCTTCGTTGGAGCAAACTTGTTTCACAAGTAGGTAAGTCTTTTCAATATATTTCTTTCGACTAAATTCTCAGCGGACAGTCTCGCAGATCCCTGACAGCATCTGCTGATGCGGCTATACGGACTGCAACTGTCAGTTTATTATTAAGCACTACCAAGCTTGAAACAAATTTTTCTCTCAGGATCATAACAAGGGTTTCAAGGTATACAGTGAACATATAACAGGTGTCTTCAGGATGAGAACTGTAAATATTTAGTTAAAATTCATCTTATTTAAACGATTAGAAGAAAGTATAACAAATTGGTCCGGGAATGGAAAACGGGAGATCATTTATTAAAGCGGGAAGACTTAACTCTTGAGAATTCATGCAGCAATTTCAGGCGGTCATTCCTAAGGTAATGCAGAGGGAGAGAATGCTGCTTACCAGCGTCGGTCCTAGTCTCAACGGTTTTGAAGCTATCGGTACTTTAAGACCAGCTTGACTTGAAAGGAATTTTCATTGAGAGAATAACTTTTATTGCTAACAGTATTAATTGATTAGTAAGATTTGAAGGTTTTACGGAGGTGACTATGTAAAATGCCGTCTTCTGGAATGTGGCGCCGTGTATAAATTGTGTAAACCGCCGTTTCTGAGGAACTTATCAGTTCCGTCTTCAGGATATGGGATGGAGCTCAATCTCATTGGCCTCCCTAATGGTGCGAAACATGCATTGATTTTTGATAGCGAGGATTATTTTTCCCTGAAGTTGGAGGTGATACGTTCCTCCGAAATGTTGGGTTACACAATATCTACACGGCGCCACATCCCAGAAGACCACATTCTTCACTAAGTGATTATATTGTGCGTCTTATGGGGCTTAAATTATGTATCAATACTCTCTCCCGTCGGCACGTCTTCACAGCCCCGTTCGATTCACTAGGATCTGTGGAAGCTTAGGAGAACTGCAGTGTTATTAATGTGCCTTGCGGCATCAAGCAGTGGCCGAAGAATTTCAACTTTTGTGTCCACGTATCTTATATGATCCCTCACAACTTAATCAAAGAGGCAGGGATCAGGTTAACGCGGTAGCCGGTCCAGTGCAACGCCACGGCCAATCCCTCAGCCACGGAGCTGTTTATTCAGATAACATATCACGTTTATACTTAAGTGCACGAGTTCTCCATCATTGTGGTGGTACAGATGCAGTGGTTTCCTCACGGGAATATTCTTCAAGAGCACGGACTATCCATTTTTCAAATATCCTGTTTAAATGTCATTATCAGGGAATTTTGTTGAAGAAAAAATAATTATATTTCTAATCTGGAACACAGAGTGATAATGGACAGAGCACAAGAAGGGCATTGTGCACACATTATGCACAGTTGTGTACGCAGTGACTGTGATACACTTCCAGCAGAAGCAGAAGTAAGGACGGTGAGAACACACAGATATATTCACATCCTCACAGCAAATATTACTGGGCTGTAACGCTCCTCTTATGAGGATGATAACGAGTTCGAACTCTACTACAGCACAACACTGTCTCTCTTTTGTTACTTCCTGCAATTTACTTACCAAAAAGATAGAAGTCATTGTAATTGTATTGATATATCATCGTCATAAAGTGTTAGCCCCTGTTACGTCAGTCAGTCACAGTGCCCAGCATTTATTCTTAGTTTCTAACAAAACGAGGTCAGTAACTTTTGCTTGCTATATTTGAGTAGCCAAGCAGATAATATTACGAAGGTAACGTGGAGTATGTTTATATTTATTTAATCGTCTTAGTGACTTTAACGTGATATTCTGAATATATGAAAAATATCTTCGTTGTGTTCATTTGACAATGTACTTTTCAGGCTGTGCGATGGGGAAAGTTTTCGGTCTGTACCTGGTGCTTATGTTGCTCTCAACCACTGTCTCCCTGTACGGAGTGTTGTCTAGACTGCAGAAGAAGCAGGCGCAGCCCCTTGTGGAAGTGGGCGCTGGCGTGGTTTGCCTCTTCAGCATTTTAGCCGTGTATTACTTCTGCAACTGCGCTCACTCCTTTTCAAACACAGTAAGCTTCCATTATTTGCTACTGCAGTGAAATCAATACACTTTATTCATGAACTGATACTATTTTAGTCACATGAAGCAGATTTTAGTGCACGTAATACGTAATTAAGCCGGTCACGGTAGCCGAGTGGTCTAAGACATGTACTGTCTTCGCTCGCTTGGAAACAGGGATCGTGGGTTCGAATCCCACTAAGAGCATGCATCTTTAGTTGGTGTGTGTGTGTGTGCGTTTTTCTGTGTTTGTCTACAGGTAGATGCCTTGCGAAGAGCTGATCACCCGCCCAAGGAGTCCTACCAAATGTGTAAGATGTAGAAAAACCGAAGTGAACGGAGAAGTTCATGGAAGTAGGCCTGGGCCCACTGGGGTTCTAGCGCTAAGAAAAAAAAGCATAATTAGCCGTATTCCGCATGCATATAATTTTGGGGAAAATAGACTACTTTCACTGAACAGGACGACGTTTTTTCAAAGTTGGTGGTCAAAATTGAAACACGTCGAATAGGTGCCTCAAAGGGGAAGAAAATTTGTGTAACGGATATAAACATTGCTAGGCAACAACTCGATTAAGAAGCCCGCAACAAATACGAAACCTACAAT